TTCTCGGCTGGGCCGTCGGACCTATCCCCCGTCTCTCTCCTTCAGCGGTGTGCGACCGACGCTGTGCGGATGCCACCGCGTGGGGGTGGCCCCAGGCCACGGCGCGACACCTCCTGCTCTCCATGTGCCTCGGGCTCCTTCCTCTTGCCCTTCCGCCAATACCGCTGCTCATGATGCCACCCCCCCCCGACACCGTGCGGATGTCACGCGATGGGGGTGGCCACAGCGCGGCATCTCCTTTCCGTTTTGCCTTTCCTGCTGCTGCCCCTCCTGCTGATCCCGCTGCCCCGGCATATCCCCCGCGCTGTACAGATGCCACGCTGTGGGGCTGGCCACAGCGCGGCATCTTCGGCTCTTCGCGCTGATCCTGTTGCTCCTCCTCCTCCACTTCCTCCTCCTCTTTCTCGTCCTCGTCCTCTTTCCTCCTCCTGCTGCTCTTTCCTGCTCTTCCTCCTCCTCCTCCCCCTCCTCTTCCCCCTCCTCCTCCTCCTCCTCCTCCTCCTCCTCCTCTCCCTCCTCCTCCTCATCCTCCCTCCTCGCTCCTCCTCCTCATGCCTCCTCTCCTCCTCCCTCCTCTGCCTCCTCCTCCTCCTATTTCCTCCTCCTCCTTCCTCTCATCCTCCTCCTCCTCTTCCTCCTCTTATCCTCCTCCTCCTTCCTCCTCCTCCTCCTCCTCCTCCTCCTCCTCCTCTTCCTCCTCCTCCTCCTCCTCCTCCTCCTCCTCCTCTTTCCTCCCTCCCTCCTCCTCCTCCTCCTCCTCCTCCTCCTCCCTCCTCCTCCTCCCTCCTCCTCCTCCTCCTCCTCCTCCTCCTCCTCCTCCTCCCTCCTCCTTCCGCCTCCCCTCCGCCTCCTCCTCCTCCTCTCCCTCCTCCTCCTCTCCATCCTCCTCTTTCCTCCTCCTCCTTCCTCTCCTCCGCCTCCTCCTCCCCTCCTCCCCCTCCGCCTCCTTTACTCCTCCTCCCTCCTCCTCCTCCTCCTCCTCCTCCCTCCTCCCTCCTCCTCCTCCCCCGATCCTTCCCTCCGACGCCCTCCCCCGATCCCCTCGCCGCGCCCCCCCTCGGCCCTCCACGCCCCGCGGCGCCGCTCCGCGCCTCGGCGGCGGCCCTCGGCGCCGCGGGGCCGCTGCCCGCCGCCTCTGCCCGTGCGCGGTGCCATCGGACGGCGGCGGCGGCACCGCCTGCCCGTGCGCGGGGGGAGCGTCGGCGGCGACACCGTAAGGGGTACGCACTACGGGTGCTGTGAAGTCGGGCGTGTCCCCCCACAGGAGGATTGTCGAGGAAAGATAGAAGAAAAGTACCCCAAGGATGTTCAAAACACAGTCCAAACATAGTCTGGGGACTACTTGTTGGTGCCATCGGAAGGCGGCGGCGGCACCGCCTGCCCGTGCACGGGGGCCCGGCGAGGGCCCCTGGGGGCCGAACTCTGCGAAGAACCTCCGCCTCGGTTTCTCCCATGCGTTGGCTCTCTGGGGGGGGGGGGGGGGGTGGGCGCCGCCGACGGCGCTGCAGCAGCGGAGGCGCTCCCGGGCCCACGGGCGCCGCGGCCCGCTGCCGAGGGCACCAGGGCGGGCGAGGCCCTCGAGGGCGAGTACAAAAGTAGTCAGGGGACTTTAAAAAAAAAAAAAAAAAAAAAATGTGGTATGTTTTGGGTATGTTCATTCTTCGTCGAGAATCCCCCTGTAGGGGGACACGCCCGACAGAAGGGTATTGTGGAAAGTTGCCGACACTTGCGGCTTCAGGGCCTCTTTTTGGCACCCCGGCGCTGCCCACGCCGGGGAGGGTGGGGTTCGCCGGGGGCCACTGGCGGGCCACTGGCGGAAGTATTCGTCGGTGGAGTCCCCGCGAGAGGGGCGCGGAGCGTCGGCGGCGCGCCCAGGGCATTGGGACAGTTTTTGGGGCACGGGGACTGGCAATCCGACTCCCCTTCCTCCCTCCTCCTCCTCCCTCCTCCCTCCTCCTCCTCCTCCTCCCTCCTCCTCCTCCTCCCTCCCTCCCTCCCTCCCTCCCTCCCTACCTCCCTCCCTCCCTCCTTTCCTCACTTCCTCACTTCCTCCCCCCCTCCCGGCCGACGCTCTGACCGGCCGACTGGTCGACTGGTCGACTGGCCGATTCCCCGACGGGCCGACCGGCCGATTGGCGGGCTGCGGTCCGACTCCGCAGCCTGCGGAGTCGTAGAGCTTCCCCCGGTGCCTCAGAGATGGTCACTCTGAGCCCGGGAGGGGGAAGCTGTTTTCGGGCGAAGAGAAATATGCACATGCACCGATCCTGACAACGTCCATCCTTGACCCAGGATCGGTGCACATGCCTTCCTGGCCGAGGTAGGAGGGCATATGCACCGATCCTGGGCTCAGGATGGGTCTGGCCAGAATCGGTGTATGTGCATAGATCTTTTTCCTCTATGTTTTCTGGGGAGTCGTGCCCAGCAGTTCCTCGCAGCCGAGCGAGGCTGGCACGGCCTCTGGTGCGCACTCGTCCGCAGACTATAGAGGCGTGCAGCGCTGCCTCGGCGGCGGGCCCCCCTCGGCGCGCGCCTCCCGGGGCGCGCCGCCCGGCCGCTCCCCGCCGCCTGCCGTGAGATCGGTGCCCTCGAGGGGGGTGCGGTCGACGCGCACGGGCAAAACGACGCGAAGATCGGGACAAAATCGGATCGGGATAACTCGAAAGCTCTGAGAATCGGCGGGTTTGGAGGATGTATTGAGCGCCGCGGCCGCTCCAGAGCGTTCCGGAACGCTCTGAGAGCGCTCCGGAACGCTCTGGAGCGATTTATCCCGATCTTAGCCCTGTTTTAACAGGGAGGAGGAACGGCGTTCCCCAGGCTGCCTTTTCGGGGGCGGAAAAGAGGGGGGTGATGACTGGGGAGGGTGGGGATATCATGGCGGGGGCCACGATATCGCCCCAGATTTCATGGCGCCTCTTCTTGCTTCATGACGTCCCTGGCCCCCCCGCTGGGCCGCGCACATGCCGCCGGTCACGATTTGCACCCCCCCCTCTTGGACACCCCCCTCTTGGCCGCTCCCGACCCTTGCATCCTGACCTCCTCGGCGCATCCTCGGCCACTCTCCTTTCCGGGAGACGTAAGACTCGGGCAAGCCAGAACTCGGGTTTTCCGACGCTTTCTGACGAGCGCGTCCTGGATTTTGACGGTCCAGTTTTCGTGGGATGTCTGCAGCGGGAGCTCGCGCCACATTTCTGACTGGGCCTCGTCACTTTTATGATGGCCCCGTCAGGCCAACCCGAGTCCCCCATACCCGAGTCTTCGTTTTCCTTGGCCGCGCCCCGCTCGAGAAGCTCCGGCGTCCGCGCCCGTGGCCCTCGGCATCCCTGTGGTGCATCCTTATAGCACGGGCCGACTGTACAGAGAGAGCGCCGGCTGCCCTTGCATCCTCACCTCCTCGGCGCATCCTCGGCCACTCTCCTTGGCCGCACCCCGCCCGAGAAGCTCCGGCGTCCGCGCCCGTGGCCCCTGTATCCCTATGGTGCATCCTTATAATAGTAGGGGCCGACTGTACAGAGAGAACGTCGGCGACGAGCCCAGGAGGAGTCTCGGACGTCCTCGGACGTGCTCGGACGTTCTCGGACGCCTGGCATCGCTCGGACGTGTGCATTTTTTCTCGGCGAGAACCATTGAGGACGATCCTGGACCATCGAGCAAAAAAACACGCACGAAACCGAAAAATGCACGGGAAATGGACGTCCGAGCGATGGCGAGGACGGTTTCGTCGCTTCTCGGTTGCCTGCAGGCCTCGGGGGAGGCGCACCGGCAGCTGCGCCTCGCCGAGACAGCGCTCCACGGGTGCCCGCATCGCCCCAGAGGGCCACCGGAGAGCCGGGTCGTTATCTTGGCATCGCTCGGACGTGTGCATTTTTCCTTCGGAGAGGACCATCGAGGAGCATCCTTGATCGTTTGGCGAAGAAGCCACGCAGGAGACCGAAAACAAAACACAGGGAATGGACGTCCGAGCGATGGCCAGTTCTCGAGAAGCCAGCAGAGGTCCGAGAGGGGGCGGTCCTTCCCGGAAGGCTCGGAGGGCTGCGCAGAAGGCGCAGAGAGCAGCTCAGAAGGCCAGGCGGCTTCGAGAGGGCCCACCACCTACTGAGGATGCCTATTCCTCCTCACTTCTCCCTGGGCGTGCAGCCCGAGAGTGACGACGAACAGCGTTCAAAGTCGGAGCGGGCGTTACCCATTGGAGACACAGGGCTGCTTGGCAACCAGCGGCCGCAGTCGGTCTCGGGTGCCGCTTGCTGTTGTGCAATCGTGATGGTCAATGTTTGTCCGTACCTATCGGGCCGAACGAAAGGGGGGGATAGGGAAAGGGGCGGCTACGAAATCTGCTGCATGCGGCTGGTTTCGGCCCCGCCGCCGGGCCCATTCCTCGACACATAGGCGCCTCCCGGCGCCGGGAGGCGCCGGGAAGATCAGCTATACGTGAGCTGATTCCCGAACCCCCCTTTGCTATCTCCCACTCTCGCCCGGCCCGAACCTGCCTCCTTGGCATCGCCCGGACGTGTGCATTATTTTAGCATCGGCGAGGACCCTCGAGGAGCATATCCTTGATCATGTGGCGGAAAAGTCACGCACGAGACCGCAACAAAAAAACACGGGGAATGGGCGTCCGAGCGACGGCCCGTCTCGGGGGGGTGCCGGCGCGAGGAGCCGCCGGCGCGCGGGAGGCCGCCGAGGAAGGCCGGGGTGTACTCCTGGAAGGAGGCGGCGAAGGCGCCATCGCGCGCGCCGCGCGGCGCCCGCGCTCGTGCTCGTCGGGGGGGGGGGAGGGGCGCCGACGCGGCCGTGCCCGCGCCCGCCGCCCGTGGGCACGTTTTCCACCACCACCACCACCACCACGAGTTGGAGGGGGAGGGGGTCCTCCTCCTCCTCCTCCTCCTCCTCCTCCTCCTCGTCCTTCTCTTCGTCCTCCTCCTCCTCGTCCTCCACCTCCTTCCCCCCTCCAACCTATGGTGGTGGTGGTGGAAAACAGGCACATCAGGGCATGTTCCTCTACAGGAGGAGTGATCCGAGAATGGTGGACAAATGGTCGGGGGACGTTTCTTCGTACTCTCTGGATGTTTGTTTGGGTATTCGTTGACTTCTGTTGATTTTTCTGGGAGGGTCCGCCGCCTGTAGGAGGACGTGCCCGACCTCACCCTGGCAGCGCGACGTCGGCCGGGGAGCGGCCGTCGCAGCTCCGTGCCCCCCTTCGGTCTGGGCCGGGCGCTGCGGCCCGCAGGGCGGAAGGGGGCCACCCAGCTCCTTCAGCGTACCAGCCTCGAACGTATCCCTATCCTTAAGATTGACACGCCAAAAGGCGATGACAATCTTAGGAATCCGCCCTCAGAAAATAAGGGGATCCCGAAGATTGGCATCGTGATGAGGAGGTGCCCAGCACAGTAGGGATAGGGATCTGTTCCAGGCTGGTAATCAGCGACGCATCGAGGACCAGTTCGACGGCGCCAACGCTGGCGCGCAGGCCTGCCGCGCATGGTCGCGCGCGGGCGCCCTCGTCTCCAGCACGGCTTGCCGCGCTGGCGGCGGCACGCGCAGGCCTTCCGCGCGAGGCCGCCACGGCATCTCCCGCGCGTGGCTGAGGCCTGTCGGCCTGCCGCTCCGCGCCCGCTGTCCGTTTCAGGGCCTCGCTTCGGACTGGAAACGCGCCGCGTCGTTTTCACGGTGGTGCTGGGAGCCCCCGCTAGACTTCCGAGGCAATGGGAGTCGCGTTGAAGAAAAGGGAGACTATCAGGAGGGAAGAAACACACACACACACAGACACAAGGAATCGTCGACTCCCAGGAAAACATAGGAAAACATGGGGAAGTGGGGGGAAGACAGAAACCCAGAACATATGAGAAACTATGGGGAGTTGTGTTTTCATTTGTGTGTATTTGTTTGTGTGTCCCAGGGCCCCTTCAGACTAGCGGAAGCAAGCGGAAGCAAACGTCGACCTCCTGACAGACGGCAGTTTTTTTGAATGCAGGGTCTCCGGAATCCACCATATGGTTGATGCCACCTGCAGTGACCGGCGTCGTCCCTGTGGCCTGGCCCGTGGAGCGCGCCAGGGAGGGGGCCCCAGCCCCAGCGTGAGGGACGCCGACGTCGATGCTCGTCCAGACATGTTCCTCGGGTTCTGGGCGGATTGCACCTACAACATCGGCGACTAATGTCAAGGGAGGATAAACCACCCGGACCGGACAATTGGCGTTTTCTCAACGGCCCTGGGCGTTTACAGAAAAGGCCTGCCCTGGCCGTCCCAGCGCTCGTGGAAGCGGAGGGTTTTACTCTGAAGGGCTTGGGCGACCCGTCCTCCTCCTTTTCCTCCTCCTCCTCCTTCATCTCCTCCTCCTCCCCCTCCTCCTCCTCCTCCTCCTCCTCCCTCCTCCTCCTCCTCCATCTCCTGCTCCGCCTCCTCCCCCTCTTCCTCCTCCTCCTCCCCTCCTCCTCCTCCTTCCCCCTCCTCATCCACCCTCCTCCTCCTCTCCCCCTCCCCTCCTCCTCTCTCCTCTCCTCTCCTCCTCCTCGTCCTCCTCCTCCTCCTCCTCCTCCTCCTCCTCCCTTCTCCTCCCCCTCCTCCCACTCCTCCTCCTCCCCATCGGGTCGCCTACGGCCCCGGTGGGAACAGGCTGAGTAACAGAGTGGGCGGCTCAGTTCGGGTCCTTCGTTTTCGGTGTCTTACGACGAGATTTTGAGACGAGTGCTCGAGCGGAGCATTGACCGTTCAGTGTTTGTCGGTCGCGGTCACTGGCATGCGGCATTCGGAGTAGCCCTGGACGGCGAGATTGTCAGCATAGGCGAAATAGTGGCCCAGTTGCACACCGCTATCCACCAGCTGGTCACAGGAGAGATTTTTTAGCATGACCCAGAACGGCCGGGTGATCGCAGGAGACTTCGAAGCCCGGAACCCGACTGCGAGACGCCCCGGTGCTGAGCAACAAGCAGCGGGACCCGAATGCCATGGTGTTCTTGCTCGCGCGCCCCAAGGAGGTAAAGGACTAATGGGCAACAGGCGACAAGGGCCACTTCAAAAGAGGTCGAGGTAAAGCAAGTGGCGTTTTTGCAGGCGGTCGAAGAGGACCCAAAGGGGCTGCGGAAAACTCCCACGTCGTTTGCTGGAGGTGCGGCCGCACTGGCCTTGAGGGTTTGGGCTGCTGGAGACGGGCTGCATCGGCCGGTGTTCTCGCGCTGGCTAAGGCACAGGCGAAGGCCAAGGCCGAGCAGAAGCCCAAGGCCAAGGCGCCGGCGGCGGCGAGAACGCAGTCCAGATTTGGGGGCCTTAAGAGGGCATGTTCTTGGAGCTGTTCGCGAACGATCGTGAAACCGACTGCGCCTTCGCGGACAACGGTTGGCGGTCAGGGTTGGGCCAGAGCTCATTTCCGACACTGGGTGCGCGAGGTCGGTTGCCCCCCGCGAGTTGACTTAGCCGTTCACCGCGCCAGCGCAGCGCAGGTTCAAGACAGCGGGCGGAGCCATGCGTCGCAGACGAAGGTCACGGCGCGCTAGCGGACATGGGCGAGATCGGCGGCAAGACGCGCTTTGATGGGCGTCGAGCCGCCGCGGGCAAGCCGCTCATCGCAGCCGGCGAGATGGTCGCCGAGCAGGGTCGGCATCCTTGACGGGCATGGGCATGGCTATCAACAAGGGCTCGGAGGCATGAAGGGCGAACATGGGGGTGGGCGCCGAACTAAGACGCGAGGGCCTGCTGGAGACAGACGCCCGCCTGCGCCAGGAGCGCAGGGCCCGCGACGCCCGCGCGAAGCTGCCGACGGCCGATGCTCGCGAGTTGGAGGCGCTTCCTTCGTTTCGGTGGGACCAGAGCTCGCAGCGCGTACGGTCGAGGCAGATCGGGCAGCGCAGGCGCCCCCGCCGCCGCCGGCGTCGGCGGGCCGCTAGCCAGCCCAGCCGCGAGCCCAGCGGCGGCGCCGCCAGCTGGCGCCAGGCGCGATATTACCAGAAGGAGGGGGAGGGCAGCGAGGTTTACCTCCACGAGTCCGAGTCGCGAGGGGCCAGGTGCAGCCGTCGTCGCCGCGGAGATCGCGGAGCCCGAGGCGCAGGGCCACGACCGCTACGGGCCCGGGCCGCGCAGACGGCGGCGACGCTGGCGGCGCTGCCCCGGCGATCGTCGCCGACCGCAACGGCTTCGACCCCCGACGAGTCGGGCGGCAGAGGCGTCGGGGGCGTAGCGGTCATGGTCTCGGCGACGCTCGACCCCCGCCCACCTGCTTGCAATCCCAGCCGCCCACGTGGGCGATTTCAGCGCAGACGCCTCGGGCGACGACTTCGACCCGATCGCCCGCGAGCGGGGCGCGCGCCAGTTGCGCTGCCCGCGCCCGACGTCGGCGCCGAAGCGGGATTTTTTTAGCAAGACCAAGGGCGGGGGGGCGGCCGCGCGAGGGCCCGGTCGGAGAGCGCCGCGCGGCGAGACCGAGGGCGGGGGGGCAGCCGCGCGAGGGCCTGGTCGGAGGGCGCCGGTCGAATGGGGCGGCAGAGAACGGTGCGAAGCGATCGAGAGCGCAGTTCGGAATCTGATGGCCCCATCGCAGCGGCAGCGTTCGCCCGGGCACCCGACCGCCCCGCGCGCGCGGCCCCGGCGAGGGGCGGGCGCTAGATTGGGGGCGGCGGCGCAGCGGCGGAGCAGCGGAGGTCGGGCCGGCGCCCCCCGGAGGCGCCTGCACCCGCTAGCAGAACACTTGCAGCGAACCAAACCAGCCTTTGAACGGCGCCTCCAAGCGCGAGCCCAACCGCGTCGCTGGCCACTGCGGGCCGCGCCAGCGGGGGCGGCGCGGCGCCCGCGCTCGCGGCGAACGGAGCGGCGCGGCGATCTCGCGGCCGCCGCGATCTCGCGGCCGCCGCCGAGCGAGCGCGGGGCGCGCGGCGAGGAGGAGATCCTGGGGCCCCCAGCGCGAATGGCAAGCCTTGGGATTCCAAAGGCGGCGAGGGGCGTTAATTTGCAGCGGCGCGCGCAGGCGCCGCGCCCCGAGCCGGGCGCGCGGATGCGCCAGCTGGCGCTCGCGGCGCCGGTGGCAGCTGGTTCGCCGCCGGCGTCGGCATCGGCGTCGGGGCGCGCTGAGGAGCGCGTTGCTCGCGAGGACCTGCCGGCCACGGTGGCGCGCGACCCGGGCGCTGGCCACTTGGGGCGACGAGAGCCCGCGCCGTTTCAGGGGGGCGAAGGCCGCCCCAGGGGACCCCGCTGCACCGGCGTCTGGGGCAGCAGCAGGAGGAGGAGCTGGAGGCCAGGCAGTCGCGCCCGCGCCGCCTCTACCCCCGCCGCTGATCGCCGCGGCAGACGCCGCGGGCAGGCGCCAGGTCAAGGCGGCCCGCTCGGATCAGCCGCAGGTCGGGCCATTCCACCGCGAGTCGGGCGACGCCGGGGCGAGCAGTCAGCGCCGGCAGCTGGCGGGCGGCGGTCGCTCTTGCTTGGCCGACGCGGGGGGGCCAGGGCGCTGGAGCGCAGTTCGCACTCCCGGCGGCGGCTGCGGGCTCAGGGGGGCCCGCCTCGACAGCGGCGGCGGGGGCGTCTCCGGGCCCAGGCGGCCCGGCGCCCGCCGCCGCGGGCGCGAGGCGTTTCGATCGAGGGGGCGCCTCTCGAGCTGTGATCGCTGAGCTTGCCGGGGCGCTGCGACCCTGGCTGCGTCGCAGAGCCGGCCAGTTGGCGAGTCCGGCGCGCCCCGGGGCCCGGCGACGGACGTCGACCTGCAGGTCGACCCTCGTGAGGGCCGCGAGTCTCAGGG